TCAAATAAACATTTTGTTCACTCTCTCCAGACGCAATATTATTGTCTTTCGACTACATTTGCGATGTAACATGCAGATTTGGAACCATTTTTATTTAAAATCATGCTGACAATTAGGTGATACATTAACATGTATATTCAGTGACTGCCCTCTATACATGTCCCAGTGAAGGACACTGGCTTCAATATTGGCATGTGAACACTCTCAGTGAAACTAGCCTACTGACTGCGGTGGCGGACTCCGAGCTGCTCGGCTGCTCAACATAGCGTAACAACGAAAAACGGCTGAGGCGACGCGGTGGTCAGCGTAACCACGCGTCCGCCGTAAAGGTGCCTGCAGCGATGCTGTCGCCGCATGAACATCCCGTGTTCGCTGACCTCTCTTCTTTCGCCATTACGGAAGAGAGAAAGAGAGAGAGAGAGAGAAGAGAGAAGAGAGAAAAGAAAGGCGACTATTATTTGAGAAAAAAAACGAGAAAATGTACGTCGGTCGGAGCGGCGGCCGCGGGTGGTCTAATACGATGCCGTTACGCAAACAAACACCAGTTGTGTTTACGTACGGAATGTGTTTACATTCAGAGGCGAGACTCCGCGAACAACGTGCCGTCGTTCGTGATAAGAGACTGGGCGTACAAACACGGTCATAAGAAAAAAAGTAACAAAAGTAGCAACACGACAACCAGTGTTTGTCTCGACTTCCCTCGTGTGTACGTGCGTGTTTGAGCACCCTCTCTTTTAAAATAAACACTTACCGACTAGCTCAGTTTTCTGCTATTCTAACTGTTGTTGTTGTTGTTGTTGTTGTCATCTGGCAAATATACGGAGTGCGGGGAATTATTGGAGAAATGTGAATCTTTCGATCAAGCTTTATTAGGTAGCTTCTATAGACGCTGTAGTTAGTGATATATTGATTTCAATAGGCAGTTTTCAGTTGTAAAATGCGTAAATCTGCGCAGAGTTCATAAATATAATATATTAGTCTCAATGATGAACTGTTAACACGGCAGAACGGCATTTGCATCGTTATCTTCACTACGACAGCAGGGTTCCTGCATAAATTTCTGCAGCTTTGTAGCAATATGTCAAAATAATCAATAAACAGGTAGCTGGGAAAAGTTGTGGCAGTAGGTACAGGGTAAAACGAAAATTTCATAGCGCGGAAAAAAATTTGTATGAAATTGTATGAGAGAACAAAACAATGGCGTGCGCAGGTGGGGGGGGGGGGTCATCGGAGTGCCCTTTACTTATAAGTCGAAATATAGGGCTGATTCCTTCCCCCCCCCCCCCCCCCTCCGTGCAAAACGCCTATGTGAGGGACCCTGCGGGTTTCGTTTTTCCACTGCTGTTGTGACCCAATTTTCAGTAACGAAAGCTGCGGACATCAAAGTTTCGCAGCTGTCTCCACGACACTTGAAGTTATTACGTTATTTTCGCCCGAGTAGTCCCAGTTTATTGATTCGGGCGGCCGCATCCGGTACGGTTTCCGTTCTAAGCCGAAGGTATAAAGAGCGCCCTACAAACGCCCCTCTTCGAGCCCCATGGGAACGTCGGAAACGGATGTTGACGGATAACTTCCACGAGCACAAAGTCACAAGAAAGTAGGTTGCGAGGGCCACCGCCGAGTAGCACCGGAACCATCACTACCCCAAAAGACCGAAACGATTGATGACACGTGACCACACATCAGTCATATACGGTCGAATTCCCGTACAGGCACAACCAAAGATGCGTACTATATTGTAGGAGCGTTACTCTTTTTCGGCATCAGTCAGTTGACTGCGCTAATCACCGCACGAAAGATGGAGGACAAGAACCAACTGCATGAAAATGACAGCTTGAGGGAGTTGGTATACGGATTCATCCTGATCTTAACAGCGCACTGGGGAACGAGGACTAGTCTTCGTTTTCCAGTGCACTGTTAAAATTAAGACAAACGAGAACAAACTGTGGAACTTTCAAGTGCAGATTATTCGCAAGAAAAAAATCGTATATGTGTGAAAAAAGAACGGGCCTCATTGAGAAACTAAGCAGTTGATTGCGTCTAGAAAAAGTGGGTGTAACAATTTAGAGTACCAGATACTGTACTATGAGAGAGCGTTAAGTCGTCCCGTGAGGAGCAGAAATGGATGGCTCAAAAGAGATAGAAACGGAGCCGTATTAGCTGTTCTAAATTCTCAATGACAGATGTATGAATTAGTTTGAAAAACTTTATTGCGGCCCTAGAAGTCACGCTGGTTTCCTATCCCGAATTGGGCCGCTCAAACTTCATGACCGAAAGTCCCTGCCTTTCGGCTGCTTCGCGAGCCCGTTGGGCTGCCCACATAGCTGGCCTTTAATATGAAACTTCCTAAATAAAGCTGCACCATACCGATCTTCAGTGTTGTCCTCGTCACTGCGTAACGCGGATCGCCTCCAGAGCATACGAGTGAGATGTGTGGTGTCGTTGCATTTATACCACGTTGTAGGAGTAGAGAACACAGGATAAATATTTTTGAAAGACAGGTGCGCTTTTTTATTTAAAATCATGCTGACAAGTAGGTGATACGTTAACATATCTATTCCGTGACTGCCCTCTATATATGTGCCAGTGAAGGACACTGGCTTCAATATCGGCATGTGAGCACTCTCAGTGAAACTATAGCCTACGGACTGCTGCAATGCCCAACCAGAAAGTGTCAGGTCCTTTGTATAGACTTCCTCCTGAAGAGTAATTTGCGGGACACTAGACTAAGAAAACCACTGTGCGCATATACATAATCTTTTCTTGTTTCTATCACTATATTCATCACTGCTTTCCCTCTTTCTCTTTTCCCTTGTGTAAAGTATAATGCAAGAGCACACAAGCTCAGGCTGACCGCTCTGCCTTTAATTATATTATCTCTCTATGTCGACACGACACCGCTTGATCAGTTTCTGCGCACCTTTATTAATTAATGCGAAGAATTTCTTAGCGAACTTCGGCGACTTTAAGCGTATCTATCTATCTATCTATCTATCTATCTATCTATCTATCTATCTATCTATCTATCTATCTATCTATCTATCTATCTATCTATCTATCTATCTAGCTGCCTACGACTTTTAGCTCTCCCGGCCGTTCCGGTAATGGTATCGATACCAAACTTGGTATGGCATAACATGACTGTATGACGAGCATAAGTGACAGGTCATAACATGAATATCATGACATTTGTGTCATGAATGCCATGATTTACATTCTATCGTCTTGCTGCTCTTGCGGTGGTTTCGTTAACATGACATGTTACAAAACTAGTGTGATATGACATAAGTACATGGCGAACACAAACGAAAAACCGTAACATAAAAATCACGACATGCGTGTCATCTAACGACATGACTACATGCCACACTCATGATGCGCTCGCGGCCGTTTCACTAGCTTCGCATATACCAAATTTGGTATCACCGGACCTGAATGGTTGATGAAGGTATGTGGCTGGTGCAAAGTCGATAATCATGAGATGCGTGTGATGTAACAACATGACTACATGCTACGCTCATGATGTGCTCGCGGCCGTTTCGCTAGCTACACATATACCAAATTTGATATCAGGTGACGTGAATAGATGACAAAGGTAAATGACACGTTCAAACATGATAGTGGTGACATGGAAGTCATGCGGCATAATAACATTTTGCTGATTCTAAAGTGGCATGTCAACCTTCTATATTCGTGCTTCGCATATCATCAATTCCCACTGTACGTTGGATCCGCCAATTTTTTTTTTCCTTTATTGTTGTAACTTCTTGCCTCGTATAGATCCGACGTTTGCTTTCAAACAGTATACATTTGGTACTTGAGCATTTGTCGGCTTTGTCCTTTTTGGCGCTCTTTTTGAACAGCAAGCCAGCGCAGTAAACCGTATGCTGCGCCAGCCAGAAATATCATATTCACTGCCAGCTGCGGTGAGACAGTGGTGGCTGAAGTATACGCTAGAGCTGATGAGGTATGTATAGTGGAGCTGATCGGGCTTAGAACAAAGCCAGCCGAATGCACTAGCATTCATGTTCAACTAACCGAGCACAAATACTCATAAACTGAGCTATCCGTTGATGTTCCGAAATTCTTGCGCAGATCGTATGAACATCAGGACAGGGACACATAATAAAGAAGTCCTTCTTTTTAGTCGTTCGGACTTGGTCATGCCTGCTTGTGCATGTGCCTTAATGTCCTCGCGCGGTGCGCGGAAGTCACATGGCACCTCACGCATTTGTCTAAGACGATCCAAAGTGCGCCTCGGTGGAACGGTGGTTAGGATGCTCGCCTGCTGACCCGAAGGGCGCGGGTTCGATTTCCACCGTGGCCGTCGCATTTCGATGGAGGCGAAATGGTAGGTGTCCGTGAACTGTGCGATGTCAGCGCACGTTAAAGAACACTGCATGGTCGAAATTTCTCGAGCCCTCCACTACGGTGTCTCTCATAGTCATATCGTGGTTTTGGGACGTACAACCCCAGATATTATTATTAAGTGAATCGAAGGCGGAAGCCTCCTCATTTTTCTTCTCAAACGATTGTGCTGATCCTCCCCTCCCCAGCCTTCCCCACCTCACGCGGCTATGTAGCGCCTCCGAGATCGGCTAACATTTGAGCAAGCGACGATGACATCATCATGTGACGTCAAGTTGACATCATGATGAAGTCATGATGATGTCACAAAAGTTGGTGATATCTAGCGCCTTTATGACATCATAGGGTGACATTATGACGTGATTATTTCTTCAATAACTCGCATTGACACCTCTGATGGTCAATCTTCGCGTTTGATGAGGCATTTAAGGCGTTCGCGATGATAATCACAACGCAGCCAATCGCATAGCCACTTAGTGAGAGCTCCGATGGGGTCGGGACCATTAGCCAAGTATGCTTTCGCATATATCGAGGGAATACCATGTCTTGGATCAAGCGAGTCATTCCTTACAACACGTGTCGTGCAGGATTCTGCAACGCTGTCTGACCATGACCTCCGGAGGCCACCGGTAGAAGGGCGGCGGCCGTGCCTGCGCAGCGGTGGGGCGGCGGCGGTGGGTAAGAGGGAGGCGGCCCTCCTCCTGCGGCGGCGATGCCGTGATCCATGGTGCAGCTGCCCCAGGCCCCGGTCAGCCACAGCAAGGGGTCATCCTCCTCCTCGGTGTACCGGCGCTCTGTCGTCAACTCCTCGCTGCCCAACGTCGCCAGCGCTGCCGGAGGCTGCGAGTCCTGGGAGGACGCGCAGCACATCCTATGGCAGGTACGCTGGGCCGATCACCGGGAATCCTCGACATCGACAATGCCTAAGGAAGGCCGGGGGGGGAGGGGGGTGACTTTATATGAAAAGAAGAAAAAAGTGAGCCCCGTAACTGTCTCTCAGGGGTAGGTCACCTCAACAGTAGCTCACGATGGATGGATGTAAAGAAGGGATTAAAAGGATAGGATTAAAAAAGTAAAGAGATAGAGAGAGAGGAAGGAGAGAGCGAGGCGCAGGGACAGGTAACGACGGAGGTAAGGAAAAGACAGGAAAAGGGGATACGGTTGCAGGAGTCCGAGGACAGTGCACCACCGGCGAGAGCTCTTGTCGGCGTCAGGAGATGGCATAGGGCCAGCCCAGTCAGCCAGAGCTACGCTGTCGTCGAAGATCGGCGTCAGGAGATGGCGTAGGGCCAGCCCAGTCGGCCAGAGGTACGCTGACGTCGGAGATCGTGGGAGCACAACCAGTCGGCACGAAATCCGATTACCGAGTCCTAATGAAGAGAGCGTCGTGTTCATATAAATCACCCCCACTAGTGGAGTTCGAAGCACTGTCACAGCGCACCGTAACGAAACAAGGATGCAGAAGAGACCTGGATTTCTCCTGCGTTGTCATTCCGGTATACCTTCACTGCAAACCAGGAACACTTGCTCCTCCAACAAATATTTCTTCATTGTGCAAACAAGTAATCCGACTGATTGTTCTCTCGTTTCAATGCTACGGTGAAGGTGACAGAGCCGTAATGAAACCCCGGTGCTACCACCTCACGTCTCTTCCTCTCTTCTCCTTCTTCGGCTTTCCTACATCTTTACTCCAATCCTTTTTAGCCCTCCTCACCCCCATTCCCCCTGAGCTACTGTGGCGGTGTCGCTCACTGGAGCAGACAATAACGGGGCTCACTTTTCTCTTCTTTTCTCTTATTAAGAATCACTTCAAACCCCGGTGCTTTTACACGTGCACGCGAGTACCAGTGCAGGGAACAACGACGCGCTGGTGCATTCATCGCAGGGTGCCCAGATCTGCTTCGCGGCGGCGTTCCTGGTTCCGCACCGGTTCTCGCTGTCGTCGCTGGTGCTGCGCTGGCTGCTGACGCTCAGCTTCACTCTGACCAGCATCTGGGCCGGCCTGGTGGTGTGCGCGCCCGACGTTCTCGCCTGGCATCTGACCTGCCTGCTGGTGAACGCGGCGCACGCGCTGCGCCTGGCCTGGCGAGCGCTGCCGCCCCGCATGCCGGCGCACCTGAGAACCCTCTACGAGCGAATGTTCCTGCCCTACCAGGTGAGTAATTGTTACTTGAAGGTTTTTTTTTTCTTTACGCTGCAGAGCTTATCGATGTGGAGTAGCCGAGCTAATAGGGACCTCAACCTTTCCACAGCAGGACAGTTGTAACAGAACAGAATAGAGCCTCAGATGCCGAACGCGCAAGTTGGCCGTCGGCGTCAGCGTCAACACGACAGTGATGCAAAAAGCATCATCACTTGATGACGCCCCATGTAATGTCATGATTTCGCCACGAGTCGCGAAACTTTATGACCTCGTTATGACGCCAGACGAGACGACATCACGGAACGACGTAATCACATTATGCTCTCGCTAGTTCAAAGGTGGGTAGGTATCACAAATCCAGATGAGCTGCAAAAAGCTTGCAATCCATCCAATCCTGGAAGCTGTGCGAAATCGTGTATTGAGGTGAGACGACATGGCTCTCGTCTTTGTTTTCTCCGAGGCGAATGCATAAAGGACTTTGGGAATTATATTTCTAAGCAGTGCGTGCAACGAACGGGGAGACGTGGCATTGGAACAATGGCAACATTGCACGGTACATAGCATCACCTATTCCCATGAATATTTTGTGTACATACTGGTAATGCAGTACTAATGCGTACCCGGTCGATTTGTAGTTGCCCTTATTGCAACAAGAACAACGAACCCATTCGCAGATTACTGCACCCGGGCGACCACTTATTCGATTGGATAGCGCAGCAATCATCAAATTAAACGACAGGCAACCACAAGATATAACCAAACATTCCCATTATGACGTTTATGATGATGTTCCCGCGAGACAGACTTTCTCACTTAGGTCGCTCGTTTGGCTTTTCTTATGCGCTTGTCGCAGGACAGACGCGGACGTTATGGTTCACGGAATGTTTTTTGCGCCGTAAGGTGGTCTGTGTGACTGTGTTAGGTGTCAAGGTGGTCTGTGTGAGGTGTTGAAGCAAAAGCCACACAGTGCTGTCTCCTACCTGCTTTCTGATACGGGTTACTATCACGTTAACGAACGCTAGCAACTTGTTTCGGTATACCAGGTCTTAAACACACACAAATTAATTGTCCTTTCTTCATATTTTACGAGATGTCATGCGTGACTCACTCTCCAACTCACTCACTCACTCACTCACTCATTCACCCGCCGAGCGCAGGTGAGCACAAATCGGTTCGTGGAGCTGACACGTGCTGCCGAAGTGGTGCACCTGGCCGCCGAACGCAGGTACGCCACAGAGGGCGTCACCGCGGCCGACCAATGGGTGTCCATTCTACTCACCGGCAAGTAAGTGGTCGCACAACCACCTGCACACGGCAGTGTTGTTTGATATAGTGTGTACTAATTAGGACTGGCAAAATGGCATTTTCATGATGTCGGCCTGACTGCTGCTATACCACAATGCATTCTCGTCAGAGTATACAGGTCGACTGGGGTCGGGCGGGGGGACCCTTGGACGTGCGTGTCCGAATCTCTCGGTCAGATGAAGTTGTTCCTCCTCGCAAAATGCCATGCACAAACGCAATTGTAGAAAGAGTAGCATCAACATCAACAAGAACTGTAGTTAAAACTTCGTTATAACTAATAGGAAGGGGACGTCAGGCTTGCTTCATCATAACCATTTCCTCGTTATATTAATTATTACACCTTTTTGCAATATGTGCTTGATGGAGGGCGACACGACGTGGAAAGAAGCCGACGTTGTGTTGCACTCCATCAAGCATAAATTGAAGAAAGGCATGGAAAGAAGCCGACGTTTAAAAGAAATATCAAATAACAAAAGCCGACGCTGCGTCTCACGGCATAATGCTATACAGCCTATATTACGGCCGGGTTTCGGTGCCGCCATATTTGGGTGGTTAACCTTCCGTTTTGTATCTTTTAACATCTAAACGAAGAATGGCTTGGGGACTCATACGCATGAAAGCAGTTGAATTGGTGCATTCAACGTTTTACGACCTCATCAATTCACGCCGCATTATACAAAAATAAAAAAATAAAAACATTCCGTGGTGGCAACCATATATGTCTTGCGTAAAATCATTCTTGCAGCCGCATGCAACGGAATTTAAAAGAAACGGTATAGTAATGCTCAGCGTGAGTACCGTGGGAAATATTAGCATCTGGTGCGGCAGAATTTGTGATAGTTGTCTTTTCTTCTGATGCGATTGTCTTTCTCTCTTATTATGCACATAAGTGCGGCATTAGACGAGCAAATCAGCAGTTCACTCTCACACTCGGGAGTCACTGGTAGGCGCGCGAATGATGTCGATGTAGCCGCGGTAAAATAAGCCTTTCCCGAGTGGTGTGACGAGGCGTATTATTTCTTTCGTATTTTGTCCTATTGTGGCCGCTGGTATTAAATTTATCGCATACTTGTGGCATGCTTCCGTTACAGCGTGAACGGCTGGCGATTTTAAATATTAAGAAAAAAAACAGTTAGGGGAACATTCATATTGACGAATAGGGACTATAACCAAATAAAACATAAATATTTTGCATCGTACTGTGAAAAATAGTATTTTCGAACGCCCTTATACATGGGCAGTCATGTGACGTGACGACATTTTTTTTCATGATGCACAGACTGCAAGTGACCTGCGAAGACGTATTACTCCACTACGTACAACCCAACGAATTCATCGACTCCCCAGAATACGAGTCGTGTCCTATAGGTAGTGAAAAGCTATTTCAGGTGAGTACTATATACGCCTAGCATAATCTGAAGTCGATTCCTTTCACATTCTTCTCGCAGCCTTCATGTTACCGAATACCGTTGACTGTGCCGCTAAAAACAAAATATCGGGGCGTCGTTTGCTGCTGACCGTCGTGTATATCAACGCAGTGTTGTCAGTCAGGGTGGTCTCCTTCCTACCGTTCTACCTACGGGTAGTCGAGCTCAAGAAAGAAAGAAAGAAAGAAAGAAAGAAAGAAAGAAAGAAAGAAAGAAAGAAAGAAAGAAGAAAGAAGAAAGAAAGAAAGAAAGAAAGAAAGAAAGAAAGAAAGAAAGAAAGAAAGAAAGAGGAAATTGCATGAAGCAGAAGTAGATTACGAATAGACGCATGGCAAAACTTTATTTGGTTATTTAAAATGTGGAGAAATCGATAGGATACACAATGACGTAATTGTTTGGTGCAGTAGCGGTGCTACCAATATATAATGGTGTACACATGTGGACTATAAACAAATGTGTTAAGTCCACAGTCAAAAATTAATGAATAAAACTTAAGCGAGATAACATCATCGTCAGCAGCAGCAGCAGCCTGACTACGTCCACTGCAGGACAAAGGCCTCTCCCAATTTCCGCCAGTTAACTCGGTCCTGTGCTTGCTGCTGCCAATTTCAACCATGATATCCTTAACCCCCGTTTGTTCCCTAATTCACTCTGCTCTCTTCTTGTCTCTTAAGGTCACACCTACCATTTTTCTTTCCATTGCTTGCTGCGTCGTCCTCAATTTAAGCTAAATCCTCTTTGTAAGTTTCCAGGTTTCTGTTCCGTAGCTAAGTACCGTAGCTAAGCGAGATAACAAATCAAGCTAACTCTCGTCGCTCGTGCACATTCTACGGCTTTGTTCAAATTTCTTAGGAAACACAAGAACGAAAGCCGCAGGGAAGCCCCGATCAATAATGCTTGTATAGGGGCTGTCTCTGGAGCCTGCGTTAGGCCCTGGTATGCTTTTCTGGACATTGTAAAACATTGCCACGCTGTCAAATTCGGCAACTGGTCAATTCCGATTGGTCAAGAGGGCTGCTATATACATCTTCTCTGATTGGCTTAAAGTGCTGCTATTACGAAATTCGACAAGGATTTGACAATGTCCACAATTTCTCATCTCTTCAAGCCTCCAACTTCCCCTGGAGGTTTGCTTTGTTTGGACTTTCACGTACACCGATGCACGAACTTTGAGCGGGCTTACACGTATAAGCAACTTGGGTAGTCAAGACACTCCCAACCGTGTGCTGCACAGGTAACCATCACAGCGCTGGAGCCGTGCACCTACCTGACATGGCAGCGGCGGCGGCTGCACCTGCTGCTGCGCGCCAACCCGGCGCTGTGGGCCGTGGTGAACAACCTGGTGGGCCGGGACATCGCGCTCAAGCTCTACTCGCTCGCCGAGTTCCACCAGTTGGGCGCCGACGGAGTGCCGCTGCCCGCGCGAGACGCGAGCCCCGACTGGGGCAAGCAAGTGCCGCGCAGCCTGAGCTTGGACGCCGTGTACACGGGGCCCGAGGGACGGCTGCGGTCCTTCGCGTGGCACGCGGCCCGAGAGGCCTCCAAGCGGGCTGTGGACGCCTCCATCGCAACCTCTTCACACGTCTCCTCCTACGCGCCCGGTAGGGTATATGGAGCACCTGCATGAGTACGGAGTCTTACCGTATAGCCCCGATATGCCGCCAGCCACGACACGCGCAAAGGCGGAGAGATTAATGGACTGCGGTTACACAAACATAAGACGGGCACGTTCAATCATCCAACAGACACGCACATTTTTTAAATGTTCAAATAATTACTCGAACATTTCATCGGCTCCACAAGATTACTGAAAAAAATGCGCGCTTTCATTAATCAATTAACTAATTACCTCAGTTTTCGTTGAAATATTCCGAGCTGAGTTTCCCAAGAAGAGAACGAATAATGCTAATCTTAACTGAACAGCACACACGTGAAAAGGACAAAAGAAAAGAACACATACAAGCGCTCCGTCCTCGTCCCGTGTGCGCTGTTCAACCAAGATGAACCCGTACCAACTCGTTCAAGCTTCCATTCTTATGAACAATACTAAGTTAATTGCGTTCTCATAACGCACGCGTGTATTTCTTTAGGTTTGAGCTGAACAAAACCCACATGTTCTGGTTCCGCCCGTAGTATTGCGCGGTATGGTTGGCTCTCAATGTCTTCAACGAATATAGTGAGATTGACTAACTATTCTTATTCCATTCCACGAGTTGCATGCGTGCATGGTTGAGCTTTAACCTTGCGTGCACACTGTGTGCATGCTATGTGTGTTATTGCAGCACATAACAATCAAGGAAACGAGGGAACCACAGATGTGTGTAGACTCTTGTGTGTGAAGCCTCTGTTGAGCCACTTGATGTAGTCTGTTCACGGGGGCTGCCACGAGTCAAGGAGGCCAAAAGAATAGACCTTGCTGATGCGCTTAAGGATGTCGAGCGCTTTGGCCCTGTTCTGTGTGCGCTGCCTATATTTGTACTCGTCGCTGTTGCGTGTGCTATGTGTTGTTGTACACTTACGCTAACCGCTGAAAAACCTACGCAGCGCATAACAGAAGGCTGACGTCATCAGATATGGGTGCCTAATGTGTACGTTGATGGAGAGCTATTGATAGGATATTCATTCTTTGTGTAATACACCATACAACGTCACGATAAGCAAGAACTATCATAACGTTTTTCCAAGTCACTGGCTATTGGTATTCATATTAACGTCCAGAAACTACGGTATTATTATGTTGGTGGACGCAGTAGTGGAGGTCTCCGGAAATTTCGACCCCATTAGGTTCTTCAACGTGCACCTATATCTAAGTTCACGGGCCTCTAGCATTTTCACCTTGATCGAAAATGCGGCCAAGATTTAATACCACGACCATCAGGTCAGCTGTCGAGAACCATAAGCTCTATACACCGCTACTGCGGATGCCGGCTCTTAGTCGACTTCTGTATCGAACTTCTGCTGAGTATTTCAGAAGGGGATAAAGTGCCGGCAGAGCGCAACTGCAGTAACCATTAGGTTTGACTCCAAAATGTAGGTACGTATAGTGTTTCGGAATATATCATGCGGTATTCCAGGGCCGAGTGCGTCTAGGTAAGGTTATTTTCCGTGTCATTTTTGCCAGAGAGAATCCAGGGGACGGCATCCCCCTGAGCCTCACCTTTCGTTATGCCTGAAATACCACTGGTACAACGGTATAGTCTCGCTGGTACTTGCTAACCTCCATATCCTTCCTCCTTCCTTCCTTCCTCCTCCTCCTTGCTGGTAGATCATTTTGCCCCAATTCACCTCATTTGTTTAACTGTACGGTTCTTCTCAACTAACCGCTACTCTTGCGTCCCCATTCCTTCCTTTCCCCACGTGTGCCTCCTCGCCGAATAAACCCTCAACAGGCCGTGCTCCCGAGCCATCTCCGATGCACGCAAAGAGGCTTCGCCCCAGCCCGCGCCCAAGTCCACGCCCAAGTCCGCGCCCGAGTCCGCGTGCATCGCCTCGCCGCTCCATGGTGCGGTGCGGACGCCGTGGTAAAGTGACCACCACTCTGCTTACCACCACCACTGGCACCGTGTCTGAAACGCATCTGTAGAGAGAGAGAGAACGCTTTGTGCACCCGCTACAGCTGATGTCGCTATCGCTGCGCTGCTGTTACTGCTGCTTCATGCTTCTGCTGTTGCCACGCCGCAGTCGACGCTTCAACGCAAGCAGCGCGCTTCCGTGCTTGAGCGCTGCTGACGCTGGCTGGCTGGTGCTGCCTGAGCTTCCGGTGTGAGCCCGCATCGTCCTTGTGTGTGCGTAGTGTGTCTGGCAGTGAACACCCTAAGTGACATCGCCATAGCTCCAGGTGAATCGTGCTCAAAACTGCAGTGAACGAAAAACGGTAAAATAACGGACGTCCGTTTTCGTTTTATCCGTGTTTTCTTTGGGGGGGGGGGGGGGCTTTGTCGCAAGCGTTGCATTGTTTGTCACCACACTTCGTCCCGCGCTGCTTTTGTTTAATTTTTTTTCGCGTCACACGATGATGGTGACTTTTTATTTTGCGAGTTACATTCCAACGACATATCATATCATTCACCACCACGGCCGCTATTTTGGCTCGACTGTAGATTTCCGGCATATCTTCCAACGGAAACAGCGGAGCTAACGCCAGAACTGCACGCCAAAAGGCGATACGTAGATTCCGATTCAATGTTTCGGAAATAACAGGCCTTTGTGAACACCCCACTAATATAAGAGAGCAAGAACTTACTATAGCCTATGGCACTCTATATACAAGGAAAGGGCACCTTTTCAGCTTGATAAAAGAGTGCAGGTGCTTCCGTAGTTGCTTCCACAATATCATGAATACATGTTCACAAAGCGCAGACGTCGAGAAACAGGCTATTGCGATCGAAAAAGATGTGTAATATTTTATACTTACAGCACACGAGGGTTTTCAACACTTATTTTGCTACTGGCCATTTCGCGCATGATACAAGCTTGACTTGCTGAACATGGCACGTATGAAACCTTTACAGTTGTTAATAACGACAGAACAAATGCATTCGAACAAATGCCTATACACGAAGTTTCAATTTCAATTTTTGAAAGGCATTTATAAATCGAGAGAGTTCTGAGGATGGGGTCGCCCTCAGAATAGTCAGTACGCAAGCTCAGCGTACAGGTTGCTCACACCATTCCGCAAGGAGGTGAGGGGGCTTCTTGCTTCGTTCAGTGTTCAACTCTGGGGATAAAACGTCAGTGCAGTTTAAGAACCTCTGTTTATCAATATTTTCATGTGTGTTTGAAATTTAAAAAACATATGCAGGGCAAAAGAAGTGGAGAGGGATGACACTGTATCCAAATCTCACCTTCTCCACAGACCTCACAATTTGATTCACAAGTAGTGTGTGTTTGTATCTACGTTTTTTTAGTTACTTAATAAAACAACGAACGAAACGAAGTAGGCTGGGTCACCCTCGTAAGAAAAAGGGGCCTTCACGATCATTTATTTGTAGTGTGACATTCTTCTTTCCCTTCCTTCCGGTCGAGCACTCACTTCTGACTTTCCAAATATTCAGAACATTTATTTTCATGAAATCAAACTGGCACCGAATTGATGTTTAAGGGTCGAGTTGAAAGTTATAATATGAGTTTAAAGTTATCATGTCAGAGTAAAAGCTTACCTAAACTAAAAGCAAATCAACTGTTTGGTTAATGAGTGATCAATAATTAACTTAACGGAATTGTTGAAAGAGTCAGTTTTATTGTGAGTCGCTAAGATCGTTGCGGCACCTAGAGGCGCATATCTCAACCACGTGCCGATAATATGTGTGGCCACCGTGATCCATTACGACATTGTGACGAAACACAAGGCTAAACAAAGGATTACATTAGGGCACACGAACGCCAAGGTGCAAGCGCTGCTACTAGGCACCTATGCCTAGGATTAAAGTCGACTCCACTCATTTTTGTTTTGTTTATCTTTTTACAGTAAGCTTCTTACAATTTTTAGTTTCCTGTGTCCGACAGATCTTAGGCGCGAGAAAGCCTGCACAACTAAGTGGAGCGTGAAACGGCGTGTGAACACCATGCTCAGACAATCTCATTGGTGTCCGAATGTAGTGCGAACGAATGTGAGATTTGAAAGAGTGCGTGCGTGTTTTATGTCAGCTCAGAATGTGGAAGTCGTACCGTGAATAAATAACCTTTTTTGTGTATGTAATGCGGCGTAGTATATAGATGTAGAGATGAGTATAGAGTTTCTTAAAATCAACCAGAGGGCACTCTGTCACTGCGATCATTGAAACACCAGGGGAATGATAGTGCACAGGTTTGCCTAGTCTTGCGGGCTTCAAACGCACCTGTATTTCGTTTATTGTTCTGTTTCGGTTTCGTTTGGAGTAAGAGAACGGACAGTTGTGAACTTCGTGACCCGATTTGAATTGGTGAGTCTAAAAGGTTAAGGTTGGTGAAGTACAACTGTTGAACATTTGCATAATGTCGTTTCGTGACACAGCAGCACCAAGTCATACAAAATTAAGACTAGGTAAATTTGTGTACTACACATCATTTCCACGCTCGCTGAGGTGCCGTGCGTTGCAGTTCACATAGATGCTAGCGCCAGATTTCCCTTTAGAGAGAGATAGAGAGAGAGAGAGAGAGAGAGAGAATTTATTGACAGAAAGGTTGGGAGACGAGCTTGAGTTACAGTTTGCTCAGGCCTGCTACTCTATACCCTGGGGAACGGTGACAGGAGATCAAAAAAGTGATGAATGACGATGGTAAGGTAGGGAGATGAGAATATGGTTTTTTTACGCGAGGTTAACACTAAAGACGTGCATCCAGTCAAGTGTATCTATAGGAAAATACCTATGGAGAGGAGGACATTGCAAACTTTATTACTTGTTTTCAACGGTACATAATTAGACTATAGACCTTTTACACAATCAAGGTCCTTTGCTGTTAAAGTAGCATCGGTGTCCTAACAGCAGGAATACCACATACTGGCCATGTAAATAATCATCCTCCGCCATATTGTGACTGTTTCTCACTAAATAGTTTATCAAGGCAGCATCTCCCCACTTTTTTTGCTTCCTTCAAACAAAATTAAAAGTAAAAATTTAAAGTTTTATGAACGCCGTTTCTTCTGCT